TGACCTCATATTAGTGGGCGTGAACAATGGACAGAGCGAAATCGATGATCCGTATCGATTCAGTTCAAATGGCGCTTTTTTGATCCAAACCGATTTGAAAATAAGAACAGTTAACATCATGAGGAAAGAAGTTTTCGCGCTGTAATCAGTACTTTTCAGGAACTAGGAGCACCTATTTCACAGAGTGCTGCGCGAAATTCTCCATCTCCGAGGAATCTTCACGAACTCAGCACACAAACGGGATCCCCAAGGATCTACACTAAGGGTGAACGGATACACAGCTTTTGCCGTGTTCTTTTGATGCATTCAACGGTAAGTATGAATGACTAGGTGAACCCATCCGGATACCCTCGATTTAAACAGAGCTGAATACCACCAGGCGCGTCTCTGAGTTGTGGATAGGGGGATACCTTCACGGAAGAAGCTTACCTGTGAATAAGTTGTGGCATACCGCAACAAATAATCAGTCACGAACAAACAGCGGCGGCACTACCAGGGTGTGGTGGGTTTAAGGCTGATCACCTGGCTCCTGTTTAAAAGCCGCATAAGCCCAACGACCGAGTCATGACAAAGGTCGAGGTGAATAGCCTTTTAAAACTAAAGTCACTGACCCCCTCCCTCTTACTTCCGAGGCGAGGGATTACTTCCTGCTACCTCGCAGTTTGCACTTGGTTCTGCATTGGCTAGAAGTGCAACCTCAAAATAAAAAACGCCGAGTGACGCTGGAGACGTCTTTCGTACCAAACTCCCAAGGAACTTCATGAGCATGTCTGGAGCCGGCTTATCCTTTCCAAGGAATCAGCCGTAGTAAAGGAAAGTAAAGTCTGGATGATGAGGTCAGTGGGTAGTGAATTTTGTGACGTCTTTGGGTTAAAAATTTTATTCTGATTTCATCACTCGGGTAACTAGATGGGAAGAAGTTAAAACCAGCTTGAGAATTTTGCTCGACATATCAAATCCCAAATGAAGCTATCGGAAGGAGCCACATTTTATGCAGCAACAGATTCACTGCCTAGCACCAGTGTGTACCTAAAGGGAAGCAGCAGATAAAAACAGAACAGGAAAAAGACTACAACAAAAGCAAGCAAACGTACTGTCCAGCGGTGCATTGTTAAGCAAAACTGGATCCGGTTCTCCCTCAGCCTCGGTAGCGGTGATATGTTGCGCTCTTTCGCCCACATCATGTTTCGTAGATGCATCCGTTGCGGTTGTCGGAATCACCATATCTAGCCCTGATGCTCCCGTTCTGGAAGCCGCCGCCGCGGCAGCGACCCGCACCTCAACTTCGTCATCGTCGTCGTCGTCAAAGTCATCGGAAACGAGACCGAAAAGCCGGATCATTGTTAGGGGACAGTAGTGCTCAGAGCCATAGTGTTCCAGTAGTTCGAACTGAATAGATCATAACGGTAGTACATGCGTGTAAATCAACAACAACGTCATCTGCCGGGTGGAAATGTACGTATTGCGAGACGGCACAATGCGAGAACAATGAAATGAACCTTCCAATCCTATTGGGAATGGACCGATGGACTGAAAAAGTTTATGCGATACTTTAAACAGATAACGGTTATTTGAATGCAATTACATCGTGGGAAATTGAAGATCTCCCAAGGAGTGAAACCAACACCCAAGACCATCAAGAGTGTATGGTGCCTCTGAATAATTGAATGGGCTAATCCAAAAAATATTCTAAGATAACGATTACCTTTAGGAGAAGCAAGCTACTGGAAAATATGCATGATTCTAATTGATTTATCTTCCGTTTGTCCAACTTTTACGGGGCACATGAATGCGATGATGTACGGAAACTCCATCAAACTTATTACCACGTAAACTGAAATATCATATCAGCCCTAATGCGAGCCGAGTGTGATAGCCGGATCAGAAACGTCAGCATCACACTTGAAGAAGAGCGGTTGGTAGTCGGAGTTGAACACACAATCAGGTGTTTCGTTTTCATTAAATGCACGGACTGTGATAGATTATGTTGGATTTCCCCCAGGCGACCTTGTTTAAAATGCAATGTTTTTGGGGGGGGGACTGATAAGGGGCTCGAGGGTAAACGGTGCATGAGACCGAATGGTGTGAACCATATAGTTAACTAATGCAAACGACACATCGAAATTGCTTTAGAAAAACCCGCTACTCTCAGTGAAATAATTTTGTACAACCGTCAGTGGACACAAATTGTTTGTGCCAGAAGCATGGATGAATATCAGGTGTCCGGATATGCAACAGTCCTAACAGAAAGCAAATGAAGTGAATAAGTAAATATCACTTCTTCGAGCCAAAATCCCGGAACAACAAAGAGATTTGTGCATCGTCTGCATTGTACACCAACAATCTGTTGTTGTATCTATGTTTCCAGTCCGACAATTTGAACTTCAGTCGGCTAGTGTAATCCAAAAGTGCATTATCTTGTGGTGAATCTCTCAGTTCCATTGAGTGGTGGGGGAGGGTGCAGCACATCAATGAAATTCAGCTGGGAATCGGCACAACACATATCCTAGACGAAGTACTGGAGGAGCGCTGAGTGGTTGGGAGAATGACCGATTTGAAAAACAGAAGAGCGCAAAGTTACTGCACCATCGTTAAGTTCCGGACAGTATGGACACCCTTCATGTGAAAATCTGTTCCTTTGCATAAATAAAGACAAGGAGGGGATGGAGGTGATATCAAACCGATTCGAAACCTGGTAAGGATGAACGAACGACAAATGGGTTTCCGCCGATCGCACCACTTCTACAGTCAGTCCAGTGTATCAAATGTTCGGTAGCCGCGAACGAATCGGCCTACTTACTATGGAACCGAGTGTGCGCAACAGTTTATATGAACAGAAACGACAACCTAGGTCCTTGAACTCGAAATGGAAACACATATAGGAAAATAGTGCATTCATCATAGTATAATGTGAGCGTACTATGAGGTTGAATGATAGTATAGCATTTCAGATTGTCTACTGAGTCCCACACAGACGGGACACGTGCTACAAAGTAAACTCTATAATGTACTCTCATGGAAATACAGCTTGTTGCTAGTGTTATTACCCTGTAGACACCACGAATGAAGGCTTAAGAAAAAGGCACAATAGAAGAATCGTTGGATTGAACCAAAAAAGCCAACGGTTCGGTTAGGATGACGGAGATCGACCCATTTCTGCATCTCCCGAAAAAGTGTCAACAAAAAAGAATATGCCCAAGATTTAAAAACTGAATACATACCTGGACCAAGGGGAATTGGTCAGAGAAATGGTGCAACTGTAAGTGTAACCAAGAAATGATCGGACTCACTTTGACAAATTTGATCAATTTGTCGCCTGACACCTGAAAATTTTGTATTCCTTTAATATCACGAGCTGCAAACTGACCAACCAGATCCCAGGATTTGGCGGGATATCTGAAAAGAAGAAACGTGATAAGGAAAACATTGCGATTTTGGCAACCCCGGAAAATCAAATCGGACCCGGGAGAACAGGATAAAATTGACAGTTCCAGTTGGGTATGGTCAACTCGATCTAGTTGCATGTCAAATAGTATGCGGTCATGACTAAGTTAAAAACCGATCCGTTTGCAAAACCACGCGAATTTCTGTGATGAAACTGACGGAGCATGGAAGGATAAATGTGGATGTCAGTGCACAAATTCTCCCTCCTATATAAACACGCACATACACCAAATGTAACGTAGCAAAACCGTAAAGGAAAAAGACGTACCGATCACTCACGAAAACCTTAAATGACTTCACGCGAGACGAAAACAGTTCGTAGTTGGCCAGTTCGATCATGCGTAACTGCACCGGCTCACAGACCTCGATCACGAACCTGTGTGGACGAGGGGACGGAGATGGGAGGCAAGAGTAAAGCTGACCATAAAGTGGACGCATTTACGAACACTGAGTGCTACCCAAATCGATGATTATCTCGATCTACAATAAGGAAGATTCTACACTTTTATTGATCATAATCGGTCAACAACAACGAGTTGTGCCAGCGTACACAAATGGCACATCGCATGCGACCCAAACCAAGCAACTATGCCATGAATCAAGACAAAAATCGGTACTGTATCTAAAAAAAAACAACGAATCTATTCGAAGTGATGTTGTTTCATTTTCCGGATTCTGTCACTGTCCGTCAAACTGGTCAGACACCTGTTCACCTCTTTNGATTTGACAAACGAAACCATGTACGAGTTCAGTCACTGTAAACGAGAACCAGGCCCTCAAGACTTTTCGCTACACAGTTGAATATAAAAACAAACGGAGTATAATGTGGTGAGTAGTTTAGACCGCGACGGATAAATTGGAGTATGGTGTCAAACGAGGGTAGCGCGGAGCTGTCCATTATCCAGTTGAGTTGATTTTGGCGGTGCTATCCATAAACAAGCCTTTGCGGGTCATTGAGGTCACTGACCCAAATAGACCTTTCTTGTCCCGTATATAGCTTGCGAGGTCGAGGGGGGGGGCAGAGTAGTAAGTAACTGGTTCGAGTCTTGGTGCACACTAACCCCTAGGCGACGCATTTCTACCACGAATTCTATGTGAAAACATTGTTTTGGGCACATAAATCCTGGAATTTTCCGTAGTTCTGGAGGTTTTGTGGATAATAAATGCGTGTTTAGTTCAGATGAATGCTAAACGAGACCAGCAATCAACTCTGTTGGGATTAGATAAACTGTATCGACTATAGGACTGGTAACAATTGGCGACCTTATTAATCGCAGTGGGCAGAAAATATAAATATTGCCAGAAAACAAACAGCCCGTGGCAGTAATTAGGCTTGTATTTGAAAAATACAATGCCAATGTTAGAATACTAATCCAAATGTATTTCATATCATTGAAACGTGTGCTCCACCGCATTATACAACCAGCATATGCCTATACCAACATTTTAGTTTTCTAGCGGTAGCGTGTACTAAATGAAACAACTCGATGACAAACCACACGCGTATAGTTGTGTATGGTTGTCTTTGTAGTGGTGATGTCAATACAATACCACCCATACAACAAGTGATTCGTGTCCACTAGCTATTCTGCCAATCAAAATTGTGAACTGGCAAAAGTGAAGGTGTGCACACTGGGTCACTTTATTTGTTTGGAAGTACGCAAATCCTGTCGTACTGAAACAGCGTGGCGTTCACAACATCGTTTCAGTCATCCGAACAGTGTTGAGGATTGAAAAAACCAAAATCTCTGATATAGTACACCATCCGGACCCGACAGAGAGAGAGAGCTGTTGATGATCAAGTGTGCTTTGTGGAAAAAGGGCAGGACGTACCATTTATCTGCACTGCATGGCACATTCATGTACTCGTCGTTATTGGAATTCAGGACAGCCTCCGCGTTTTTTATGGCCTGGCTTGAGTCCAGCAGCTTGGATCCGCAAGCAACGGAAGCCACGTTTCTCCTCAGTGTGACAGACCGATCGCTAGGCGATTGGTTATGTTGCTGTTGATGTTGCGATTGGGATTGGGACTCTCTAGGATGAATATGTTCACTGGACTGAGAACTTTCTGTGGCAGGATCTGTCAAGAGTTTGGCCTCGTCTAGTCGGTCTGTCTGCGAAACGACCGGTTCGACATTCGGCTCCGTTGCAACCGACACATCAGGTCCGTGACGCATCGCTCCATCCCGTCCATTCGTGGCCGGTAAGTCGGAAATGGGTTTGTTACCAGCATCATGATCCGCGGAGTTACCAGTATGAGAGGAACCTGGTGTTCCACTTTCGAGAGTAGGGACTGTATTTGCCGGATTTTTCGGAGATGGTAAAGTGTTTGGTCTCTCTTCGGCACCAGACGGGATTCGACCGTGATCACCATTACCTCCTCCTAAAGCAAAGAAAAAACACGGAAAAACTATGCATTCCGGTACAGATAGCTTTATTTCTTCCACTTCCATAAGCTCATGGCATACGCATCTTGATTATTTAGTTTCGAACACACAATGTCAATTTCGTTTAAGTTAACACCTCAAATTATGCTATTCCCTCATAAAGAAACGATGATGAAGCGAAAAACATGTGCCTCAACCCGGAGAGCTATGATAAAATAAATATGCATTTTTCCATAATTGCTTTCTCCTCCGGAATTCGATCTCCGACGTAATTAACAACATCGTTCTACGAGAAAACAGCCAGCTGGAAAAATACCAAGAACAGTTTTGCGTGAATATTGTAGTCCGTATTTAAAACAAGTTCAAAGTTTTATTACGATTATCCGTTTACCGAACCCGCTTAGAAAAATGGTAAAGTAGTGCGTGTCTTAGACGAGCGTTGACCCGGTGTCATCATCGCTTGAACTTTTTCCATTCCGAATTTCTCACATGACGCATTGTTCCACAACTGATTCTCCTGTGGTGATTTTCTACCAACAATTAAGCAGCATCGGATTTAGAACCTATTCCCCTCCTATGCCAACCCGAAAATCACACGATCGATCGGGTTCATTTATCGATCGCCGCAACAAGGGACCTGGTGCTTGCCCAGCTAACCCGAGAGAGAAAACACACCTTGTTTACAGCCGCGAAACTTTAGCAGGCCCAGTGAACTTCGACTGTACAACAGGAGTGCCATCACCACACGGATGGACTGAACTGACAACAAGAGCATTACAAAAAGTACAAGCCGGTGGTCAGACAGTCTCGTGTTGGGGTGAGGGAGTCCAAGTGACGAAAATGATCCATTTAGATCGCAGAGAGGGTCAGACAGAAGTCACTTGATCGAGGTCACGGGTCAGAGGGATAAGACAATGTGAAACGACGAAGCTATCGCATTGTACATGATGTGGCCGATGCTCGTTAGCAGTAGTGCTTGTGCATTTACCGACATTCCTTAAGCATCTGTTTTTTTTCATGTTCCATGTTTTTATCTTCCTTAAGAAAAACGCATTTCGTTGTCTTATTCCCCCAATGCATTATTTGAACAGACGGGTTGCCAAGAGAGCCAAGAGCAGATTGTCGAAGCANNAACGCTGCATTTTTTCCAAGCGTAACAACAAATCGCAAAAGAGGAACCGTCTGTTTTTCCTACAAGTGTGTCAACGGTACAAGCCTCTAGTGCTCTCGGGTAACACAGAGTATACATATGAAGGTGAGCGTGACGTAATGGCCTCAACGAAAACCTGACCTCGTTTAGCAACTTAAAGAAATACACCTGGATCACGTGAAACCAAAGAAATACTATCTCTTTATTACCGCCAGCCAATAGCAGTTGTTAGCTGAAATTAGTTCGTTTCGTTTCATTCCAGGAACACTGACTGTGTGGACGATCAGAAAACGAGAGGATACTTTTATTATCAAAGGCTTTTGTGGCAAAACGACCCAGATCTACCATACCGTTGGTAGTTGGAGTGGAATTCGTGTATTAGCTGAGTAGGACAGATAGATGATCTTTTGAAGATAAAAGATTGCCGCCACAACGGATGAAACTGACGATGTGCTAGCAAACAAAGGCTTACGTAACTCAGTCAGTCATTTTACATATTGCCGAAATCAAAGGCACAAAAGGACACATGATAAGTACAGACCTAAGAAAAACTAAAGTGAGAACAGACATGAGCGTCACATATTGGCTATATCGTTAGGAAAAGAGAGCAATCCTATTCGAAAATGGATGAAGATTACCTTTCAGGGCTTTTGTATCATCATTTTCGGAAAGCATCGCATGAAATTCGTTGAACGTTGGAATCTGATGCTGTTCAATACCTCCGACCGCGGCATCATCCAAGGGTGGTAATGAGAGAATCGGATCAGAATCTATGCTGGGAATTTCTGCCTCAGCTATTGGTGAAGCACTCCCCGATTGATCAACATTTGTCGCATCAGGTAAAGGTTTACCGATTCGGTCGTTAGGACTTTCCGATTTGTGCTTTGCTGATAAAATAGACCGCTTTCCAGCGTCCATAGTGATCCCATTCTCTTGAGCGTCTGGTGACGTTTGTTTGGAATTGCTTTTTATTTGAGTTTTGATAGGCAGCTGAGATGGGACGAGAGAAAAACGGCAAAATAAATTCAAAAGAGAAACAGGACAAAAATCACAATTTCAGATTACAATAGACGACATATATTGTGTTAGTGATCCAATACCACACCTAACCTATTGGGGCCTTACGTGGTTCGCCACTCCAAGTCCCGCAGGACTTAGGTTGCCGGTTTCCATCAATGAACAGTAGGTCCTCGTGACTATGGGGTATACCCCGTCAGCTGTTCATCACACGAAAGTGTGTAATGAAGGGAAAAATACTATTCGATTTTCAGTTGAATAAATAACTCAAAAACATGGGTTTTGCACAATGTTTCAGTTTTTA